GTTTATGTCAAATTTGAATTTTGAGATATGATGTTTTTGTTTCCAAAATTATGAATTTATGTTTTGATTCAGTTTTAAATCTCAAATTTGGACAAAATTATTAGACTCTTGGATTTTTTAAATTTTATTGGTTTGCCTAAAAAATCAAAGAGAGAGTCTGAAAATTAGTAAAAAGCTCGTATAACTTTCTTTCATAAATTTTGGTTGATTCATTTGCCATCTAAACCCAATTGAGGAGAAAACCTATAATTTTATTCAATTATTTCTACTTCTAGTTTCTTAGCAACCAATCTTTGCCTGAAGATGGACATGGGGCGAAGTTAGAGAAGGAGGAGAGAGAAACTATTGGAGAAATGAAAGTGAAAACTAGAAAAGAAAGGGATGAGTCAGAAGATATGGGCACTTTTGGAATTTTAATGTTTTACAATATTTATTTATATATTTAATTATTGAACGGACCAGCCTACATTTTGCTTACCACTTGTCAAGTTGTATTTACAATTAATGTAAAAAGTTCTATAACAGTTAGTATTTTAGTATTTTATTATAAAAAATTATGTTATTATTTAATAATTATTTTAAATAAAATTTTATATATTAATGTAATTATTAAATAATATAAAATATTAATTAAAATTAATTTAATTTTAATAAATTAATTCTTTTATGATATGGTATGAGAAAAAACACTATAAAAAAAACAACTTCAAAAGGCCAGCCTGACATGGGAAAGTGAATGCCGCACAGGCAATGTGGAAACGGGCAAGTGACGGTCAGCTGAAGGGGTAATCTGCATTGATTGGGCGGTTCAAGGGCTCATACGCTTAAAAATAATTCAGGATCCCACAGGTTAATATGGGGAAAGTTTAGGAGCTTAAGATTGAGTTTTGCCTGGTTTTTAGGATGTTTTCCGCTAGATATAAAGCAAAGTTTGTCAATAAGTAGTGTTGTACTTCTCACCATTTTCAGTTTAAGTTCTGCTCGTCATCTTGTTCTTAATTTTCTATTCATTTCTTTGTTAAAAAAAAAAAAAACAAACAAAAGCAACACATCATGCCATTGAGAGAAAGAGGATAAGGAAAATCAGATAGCTCCCAAAGTTTTTAAAGACAAAATGCAAATGAAATGAAGACATACCTGTTCGTTGAAGAAAGGTTGAATACCTGCTGCAACATCTGTGTTTGTAGACATAACTGCGAAACCCTTGAGCTCTGGGCATGTCTTTACAATCAATTCATTCAAGGATGAGAACTCAATGGTAGAATCTCCAAAGTAGAAGCTAACAAGATTTTGGAGTTCCCGTAACTCTAAAAATTTCAACGCAGGGAAAATCAAGTTCCCCTTTTCTTCTTCATTCTCTTCAGAAAGAACCTTTGCCATCATCTTGCAATTTTCTATTTCAAGGTGTCCAAGCTTCACTAGACTTCTAGCCGCAGTGGATGAGAATAGGTATTTCAAGTTATTGCAGTAACGAATTATCAATCTTGTCAGGTTCTCAACACAGTAAGATGCTATACAAATCATGTCAACCTTAATAAATGCCAATTGCAGCTCCTCTAGGTTTGGAAACAGACACTGCAGAACATAGAATTCTCTTTCTGAGCAAAGCTGATCATTTTTTGATATATAATAAAAAATGAAAATGTGAAAAATTTTATTTTTTACGGATGGTTTGAATACAAGCACTATTTCGGCCAAAAAAAAAAAGATGCTTCTTATTTAATTCTTTTACTAATAAAAGCTTCTCACTTCATTTGTTCGATATATAAGACAAATAAAAGGGGAAAAAGAAAAAA